GTTCAAGTACCCCATATGCAGGGATATATAAGCATTTAATGCATTGAATATTTGAATAAATATTATGTTATATTCATTTTAAACTAATAAAATAAACCAAAATTAAATGATTTGATACTTAAAATTAGTGCAACTGATGCCAATATTTTTTTTTGCTTACATTGATAGAGGGTATTCACTAATCATTTTACAAGATTCGAGTAATAATATTTGTGTATTTATAATGTGTGATTATTATATATTCGAAGATTATTTTCGGAAATTATTAGTCTTTCGATAGTCAAGATTTTGAACTAATCCTTTTACTTGCAAAAATCTATAAGTCGCTTACATCCTTCAAGCACAGGCCTCTGAGTCAATTATAGCGTATGGACAAAACTTATGATAGATCTACATTATTTACTAAAATGAATTTCAGACGATTATATCTATCTAGCATGTTTACCTACGAATAGTGATAATGATCTTATAACTGATACAACCAACTATGATTATTATAAATATCTTTCGCCCTCGATTGAGAGTAATTTTTTTTCTTTAGACTTTTATCTAGACAAGTCATCTTCTTCCTCACTTTATTTTCACTTCCTTCTAATAAAAAATCACCGGTCAACGATCGATCCTCTACCAACTACGACTTTTAATCTAATAAAAAAGATGAATTGTCAACTGTTTACTATATTAATTTATTTTCATCAAGAATGATCATAATTTGTTCCTATCAAAATACGTGACTTATACCAAAAACTAGCCTGATAAGAGTATATGGGAATGGGAACCATATTGCAGGCTGTCAAAGTATGGCCACTCGTGATTCTCGAGTCATAACTCAATGGGAACCACAAAATATCTTAGTCAGACTAGGCAAAGTTGTGAAACTCCGACCAACTGACCCACATTATTTCCAGATCTAAAATGATTCAAAATTTTAAAATCAAAATGATGATTCAAATTGATGCAGTCCAAAATTATGTAGACATGGTACAAACACCACTTCAGATGCAAGGCTTCCAGTTTAAGGATTAAAAAAATTGAAACAAATATTGAGAAAAAAAGAAGAAGATTGCTTAGAATCAATGACACTGATTGAATAGGATTTGGATATCGGGACTTACAAATCCGGCAGTGGTGGAGATCGGTGGACGCTGGCTGCGATTCGTCTTCAATCAATTACAAAAAAGATCTGAATCTAAAATTGAATTAGGGTCTGTTTGTTTCACTGAAAACATTTTCCGGAAAATGAAATCTGGAAAATAAATTATATTTCTGGAAAACATTTTTCAGAAAACAGTTTCCAGTGTTTGGATGATACATTGTAAAATGTTTTACAGTGTTTGGTTAATTTTTTAGAAAACAATTTTCAGAATCTCTTTTTAATAAAGAAACATACATATTCATTTTTATTCTTTACCTTAGTTTTAAAGGTTCATTTTTTTTATATAATTATATTTTATAAAAAAAAATATTTTTATAAATACGTCAAACTATATTTTTAGATAATATTAATAATTTATGTTAATTGTGTTACAAATACACTAATTTAGGTTTAAAACCTTCATGATGCTTATTCATTCATTTTTTTAGAAATGAATTTCAACGTATAATTAATATTATGGAGGTTTATTTGATATAATATTAATAATATATTAAAAATATATTAAGAAGGGAAGGTATTTCGAAAGGAAAAAGAAGGGAAGGTATTTCGGTAATACTTCAAATATGTCGGTAATGACACATACAATGGCTAAAGGCATAACTGAGGTAAATGAAACTACATGTCTAAGGTGTTAAGAGGAAGGCTATAGCATTACTAAAGGAACAACAATCTACACAGAACATTCCAGTAAATCATTACACCTTTCAAAGAAACTCAATTAAAAATAAAAGTAAACAGCCTATGAGTTGCAACTGTTATTTTCCTAATGATATAGGAATCAACTATGAAGCGAAACTTGGGTCGCATAAAATCCAAGCCTATACAACTCAGGAGATTGATGCCAGCTTAAGCAAAGAAAATTGTCAAGCAACATAGTCGTTTTAATGAAAAATGAAGATTTTAAGCACTCAAAGATGATGGCAGACAACAAAAACAACACTAAATTTTTCAATATTCAGAGCATACTTCTTCAATGCTGGTGCTATGATCAGTTGACAGCTGTAGTGCAGTCAATCTCATGGACCGAGCAGAAGCCTCATTAACTGGCTTAACTGTGTTTTCACCCGGTGCCAATGTCTCCTCCATTATACCCTCCATGCTTGATCCATTTTCCTCGTGCTTTCTTCCCTCCATACTGGAACCAACATCTTCTGCTTCATAAGAAGATAAAGTGCTAGAGCAGCAGCCTTCTCTGGGAAGAACCTGTACAGATTACCAAAAACATCAAAACCCCCCTCCAACGTCAGTCAACGTTAAGCAGATGAACATCAAATTTCAGTTCAAAAGCAACAATCAAAGCCACGTGACCATATACAACAATTCAAACCAAATATCCCTCAATTTCATAATCCATACAAATAGCATAAGTGCAGAATCATTCGTTTTTAATCAGAAATGCAAAATCGTCATAGAATTCAAGATCAAAGCATTTAAAAAAAGGTCAATAAATAAAATTTCAACAATAAAAAAAGAACCCAATTCACAGAACATAAATCAGGTGCTACAGTAACTCAAAAGAATCCACCAACCAACAAAAAATCGATTAAATAAAAAGCAAATCAAACCCCAAAAAAGCGTAGAGCTGAACATAGTTCTTCAAGTGCTTCTCTTGACTGGACATCCAAGAAAACACCACAACTATGGAAAATGAAAATGGAACTTTTAGAACTTTATTTTATGCCTCATCGGTGAAATTGAAAATGGAAAATGAGGGAAAAATGAAACAAGAAAAGGAGATCAAGGAAGATGAAAAGGGAGAAGATGAAACGAGAGATACCAGAGAAGACGACCACCTGCCTCGTCGGTGAGAAGGATTTCAAACAGTCGATCGATTTTCCGGTGTGGAGCAAGGGAGGAGAGAACCAAAGACTGTGTTTTCTGTGTGGAGCAAGGGACAGGACAAAGCTGGAAACCAACTTACTCTTTTCCAAACGGTAAGTTGAAATACCGTGTTTTCCTCTCCTTTTCCATTGATTGTAAAACATTTTACGTTGACCATAGTGTTTTACGGGAACCAAACACAAGAAAACGGGGAAAACATTTTCCGTAAAATGTTTTCCACTTTCCAAACACACCTTAAGTTTCTACTAAGCAAAGATAGCGAGAATTGTTAATTGTGAATTTAAAGTGAGAAGTTGAACTTCGTCATCCATCATGCCTGCGTTCGAAAAAAAGAGAGAAAAGAAAAGACCTAATTGACATGGCGATGGCGATCAAGAAATCAGCTCTATCTCTTTCTCTCAATTGCGTCGGACAGAAAGATAAAAGAGATCTCATCTGAAGAAGAAGAAGACAAATGCTTCGTTGCGGTGAAGTTACAAATTCAAATGATTTTCCCGGGAGCAATTCATGGGCCTCTTAAGCCTTTAACGTGATAGGCTTATCGGCCGAATTAGATTCTAAGAAGCTGATATAGCCCGACTGCCCGAGACCTCTATCTTTTGTTTCGCCTATTGAATTTATTGCATCAAAAATTAATAAAATTATTTATATAATATTTTAAAAAAATCAATGATAATATGACATTATTTTATAACAATATGTCAACAATGTCATTAACTTTTTAACGATGAGTTATTAAAATGAAATTAAAACGTAATGTGATATATAATTTTAAAATTAAAAATAATTGAGGGATCAAAATGAAATAAAAATGATAATTGTAAATACTTTTCTCTCTTTTTTTACATCATTTTAAATTGTTACTAATTTAGTTAGTTAAACAAAATTATAATTGACTCATCTAACTTTTAAGATCCTATCAATTAATCAATATTATTAAAAAATATTTATTTTAACCATCATATTAAAATTTTAAAGATATTTAACTCAATAAACCATTTTATTAAGATAATACAACATATCATCATCAATTTAAAATTTAATTTGCTTAGCCGCATTAATGAGGAGCAACGAGGGAATTCGTCAAAGGAGAGTCGTAAACTCTAGTTTATCCCAGAAACTTCCTTCGCGTCATAATTTATTTCCTTTTTAACAAGGTTTAATGTCATAATCGGTCCCCAGAATTTGACAAATTATTAATTTGATACTTTTACTTTAAAATATTCAATGTTATATACTTTATATTATAAAACCTTTTATCATTGTGGCATCTAATACTAACACCATTGAATATTAGTTATAGTGTGACCTTTGATCAAATCAAGTGTTTATTTTGAAAGTATAAAATATTTTAAAATTAAAAGAATTATATTTTATAAAATATTATTATTTTTGAAATGTAAAAAAAAAATTAGATTACTTGTTTAAAAAGTTTAAAGTATATTTTTGGTATAAAAAACTTTTAAAATATTTGAACCATAAAATTATGAAATTAAATTATTTAAAAAAATTGAAAACTTAAAATCTAAAAATTGAGTATTAATTTTAAAAATAATAATTGTTTAAAATAATTAAAATAAATCAAAAATAATATTTAAATATTTAACCACCATTAACTTTTAAGTAAAAAAAACTTACTTATAAAATTATAATAACTTAATTTATTATTAAAATATATAAATATTAAAATAGTTTTACTATTTTTTTTAGTTATTGAAGAAGTTATTTTAAAAACTAAGAGTTACTCTTTAAAAGGAAAAAAATTAAAATCAAGTGCTGCCATAAGTATCATATTGAATATTTTTAAAAATAAAAGCACCACATTAATAAATTTGATAAAATTCAGGAGATATTATGAAAATATACATTTTAATAATATAAAGTGAATTGTTGACCTAATAGAAATCTCTACAACATTCTATTCTGATCTAAACCCTATTATATATATATACATAAATCTAAAGCGTGAAACACACGTAGTGTTCTTCACATCATACAATACTGCAACAATAATGTAATTGCTCGAATCCGTCCTTGATCGTTTTGGGATATTCTCTTCGTCGCCGACGATGGACTGGAAAGAAACTCCGGACGCACATGTCTTCGAGGTCGAGCTTCCCGGCTTCAAAAAGGAGGACGTGAAGGTACAAATTCATGAAGGGAGAGTTGTTCATGTCAGTGCTGAAAGAAAAGATGATGAAGAAGACGATGATAAAGGCGGGGAGTCGCGGTGGCATTGCCGGGAGCGGAGATCCGGAAGAAACTTGTTCAGGCAATTCAGTCTGCCCCGAAATGCCAAGGGTGATGAGATGAAGGCTTCGATGCGTGACGGTTTGCTCGTTGTCGTGGTGCCTAAAGTCGATGAGGCGTACGTGAAGGGTAAGAAGGAGAGCAGAAGGATGGAGATTGATATCATGGGTTCAGGGGAGGAAACCCACAGTTCTTCTAAAGGACTTGGTCGTTTCCTCTGCCGTAAAGCTTGAACCACTTGGATTATTTAGTAATTCGTGTATTGTACCAGGTTTACGTTCTAGATGAAACTGTGTTGTAAGCTTTTATGTTTTTGGTAAATTTTGAATGTATTTAAAAATTATAAATTTAAGTGTTTTATTTATATATTGTTTGTAAATTTTGTTTAATCCTTAAAAATTGATTATCCAATATATTTAATTTTAGAGAAAATAACCTCAGTGACAAAAAATACCAGATAATATACGATTTTGACCAATTTTTTTTGGATTTGCGAAAATGACCAACAAAATCGCAATGCGATCTCTAATTCGTATTGCGATCTCCACTATCACAAATTCGCGTTGCATTTCGCGTTGCGATTTTCCATTTCGCGTTGCGATTTTCCATTTCGCGTTGCGATAGTCTACAGTTGTTGTTGCGATTTTCCAAATTCGTTGCGATAGTCTACATTTGTTATTGCGATAGTCTACAGTTGTCGTTGTGATTTTTCAAATTCGTTGCGAAAATTCATTGTGATAGTTAAAAAAATGATTTTGTTTCTTAAGAATTTTCTCTAAAAGGATAGTATCCGCGCGGACGTGTCGAAGACACATATTACCACGACCACGACCACGAGACGAGACAGACGGCGGCGGCGGCGGCGCTCGAGAGTCCCCCTTGTTCTCTATCACTCAGCAAGGAAGTGAGAAAGCCAAGCCTTAAAAACAACTGAATCAACAACCAATTGCATTAGTATTATACGATTAAATATGTCATAATTAAAAGTCAATCTACAATCAATCGCGATTATTGCAATTTTAAACAAAACATTCAAAAATAATATCACTATTTAAGGCTCAATCTCACATAGTATTGGGAACAAGTGTTGGTAATGCTCAAATCCCACATAGTATTAGAAACACTATTGGGAATGGTATTTAAGGCTTGGCTTTCCCACTTCCTTGTTGAGTGATAGAGAATAAGGGAGACTCTCGCGCGCCGCCGCCGCCGCCGTCCGTCTCGTCTCGTCTTCGACACGTCCGCGCGGATATTATCTTTTTAGAGAAACAAAATCTTTTTTTAACTATCACAACTCGCAACAACAACTGTAGACTATCGCAACGAATTTGGAAAATCGCAACGACAACTGCATACTATCGCAACGCGATTTTCAACTATCGCAACGTGAATTTGCGATAGTGGAGATCGCAATGCGAATTAGAGATCGCATTGCGATTTTGTTGGTCATTTTGGCAAATCCAAAACAAATTGGTCAAAATCGTATATTATCTAAGATTTTTGGTCAATGCGGTTATTTTCTCTTAATTTTATTCGACCTCTAGAACAAAATGTCGATATGTCCGAGTGGTTAAGGAGACAGACTCGAATCGAATCTTGCTGTCGACGTACATTCTTTTTTCCTTCTTCCTTAGTCTAGCCTGCATCTACTTTTCACCAATTTCCTTGCATGAAGGTTTAGATGCATCAACAAGACTCTTATTTTACTATTCAAATAGAGACAAATATTAGTTGTAACTCAGCCTATATGTGAAAAGATTTGTTTAGACGATAATTTGAGTATATGAGATATGTATATTTTTTTCCGAATTCATTAACTGAAGTAGTTACGTCTTATATGATGATTGTCCGAAATAATTATGTGATTCATTAATGTGTTATATAAGTACGTGAAGTATTCAATATTATGAAATTTAAAAATTTGAACTTTAATTGTCTTGGTAATATATTTGGTTAGTCACAGGGTCCTTAGCATTTTTGTACGGGTTATACGAGATATATTATGAATTACGGTGTAAAATCTTCATTTTGACATCATGATAGGAGGGTTGGGAGAACTCAATATCATTTCAGATGTGAAGGTTGGGGCTTTCGAACTGGAAAGGTTATTAAGAAAGCCAGGGGCTGAATATATATTCAAATTTGACAAATGAATCATTAAAACAAGTGTGTTGATAAAAACAAAAAATTCATGTTCATATTTTTTAATCACTAATGTGATCATATATTAAGTTTTATGTTTGAAATCACGAAATGATGAAAGTTTTTATGTGCTAACGTATAATAGATGTCAGATACTTTATATATTGTATTACCTATTTGTTATGTTTCTGACTCCGCTTATCTTAGTGAGCTTGTAAAACTCACTTCGTTTGTGTTTTGACTTCGATTATCTTAGTGAGCTTGTAAAGTTGATTCTATTTTTGTTTTGAATGCTTTTGTAGGTTGTGGATAAATTTATTTAGATTAGAATTGCATCGAGTCGAGTGAGAAGCCTATTCATTTGCTATCAAGCAATTTTTGTATATGTTCTATTAATTCCTTAGCTTTGTTTATAGGGGTGATTATGTGTGAATGTGGTTATAGAATGAATAAGTGTTATTTAGGAGTATATGACCAAATGAGTGGATATAAGCTTTAGTATAGTGATAATCATGACTGGATGGTTCAGATGCATATATTAAGTATGAATCATACTTGATGGATGTTATTAGATCGATGAATGTATTTGCCGAAGGAAATATGAAAATATGCATGTTAGATAATTATTGAAAGTTATTACCCTGCTCAACAGTAGCATTTTTAATCCAATCAGCCATAACCTCCTTGGACAATTTATAAAAAATTTAAGTAGGGGTGAATTTAAGAAATTTTAGGGGCGAAAACATATTTTTAATAGAAATATATAAGAATTTAAAAATTTTAGTGAGGGACGACCGCCATCACCCGCCCCTCTAGATTCATTCTGAGCAGCATCGACAGGTAAAGAATATTGCATCAGGTCACGCAACAAGCCAACACCAAAATCTCTAATAGCAGGATCAACAGTGCCCACTAGAGAATTGAAAAAGTTTACAACTTCAGAAGACATTTCATCAAAAGTAGTAAGTAAATTTCCTGATTCATTGTGCGGTTCAACTATTGAGAAAGATCTTGGCAAGCAAGGGATCGCTTTAGGTTGTTTGGGTAAGGACTTAGGTAATTGGTAATGTTGATGTTGGAGCTTTGAGGCTAATAACAATATGAGCTGGGGTTTGAAGATAATTCTTATTTTGTGAGCGGAAGTTCATGGCTTATTTGTTACAGCTCCTGATGATAGGAGGCTTAACTTTGGGAAGAGCTTAGGCCCAAGAAGGATCGAGTGGTATGACAAAATTTTATTTGGATCTCTTGCATGTGCCTATACATGCGATCATAGCTTAGCTTATTGTTTTGGGGAGACTATCAATCAAGGATCGACTCATTTTGGATAATTCTTGCTTTTATAACTTCACGTACATAGTTAACTATATATAGAGTTTATTGTATCAAAATATGACCCTCATTTTCTAAGTCCCTAATTTTTTAAGTGTTTCGGTTTCATCCATAAACTATGACTATCATTTTAAATTAGTCCTCAAACTTTTGAACATTTTAATTTTATCCTCAAACTATGATTTTCATTTTAAATTAGTCCCCAAACTTTTTTGAACATTCCAATCTTATCCCAAATTATATGTATATACTAATCACATCCCTTGTTAATAACATCGTTGGTCAAATTATAATATTATATTTTTGAAAAAAAATAGGTTAAACTATGGTTGATATTAATTACATATTTGGATGAAATTGGAAGATTCAAAAGTTTAGAGAACGATTTAGAAAAAATATTAGTTAATTATATCATATATATCCCCAAACTACGACCCTCTTTTTAAATTAGTCTCCAAACTTTTGAATCTTCTAATTGCATCCCTAAACTATGACCCTTAACTTTATGTATTATGAATTAAAATAAATACTTAAAATATTATTTTTCACCATTTTGAACATCATGGCATCTAGAATAATGTAAAAAATAATTTTTGTAAAGATAGAGAAGGAAATGAAAATGCATAAAGGGAAATTTTGGCGGTAGCAAAACATAATGAAGCAGAAGGGCCACGAGTGGGCCGAACCTCTATTTCTGCGCCGTTATGCGGGGCCCTGACTTCGTTTTTGTTTATCCTTCATTTAAATATAATAAAAGAAAATCTCATTTTACTTTTGGTTCAAGTTGTAGGCGTGCTTCATCTTTGCTTCTCCACAAAGTTTGAAGTTATTAGTAGCCCATGCAGGGATGGATGACCCGCGAGTAGGAGAATCGGAATTTCTAAAAATTTAAATTTTTTATATATTTTAATTTTTATATATTTTTTATTTAAAATTTTGTTTTGTTTTTCAAACATTTTAGCAGTTTGTTTTCGGTATAAAATTCTTCGTCCGTCTTTAAGCTTATGCTACATTATTCCAAAAAAAATGAAATTTTATTTTAAATAGTCTAAAATAATTATAAGGTAGTATTTGTTTAAATGTAAACACATCCAACAGCCATAATTGTTTGAATCTGAAACTTCTAGATAAAGGAACATTCATTTTTTTACAACTAAGATCACTTGATGAATTATTCGAAAAATTATATTATACCATAACACGTGACATAATCACAAATTTTATATTATAATATTAAAATATAAAGAATAAGAATATAATATTTTAAAATAATTTTTTAATATTTATATATAAATTTATTAAAAATATTTTAGAAAAAATAAATAAATGTCAACTAACACCTGTTTTTGTAATGTGACTGCCAAAATTTAAATGTCAACATTAACATATACATATTCATATGGTCAAAGTTTTCTATTAGTCTTTATGTTATATTAAAATTTTTGATTTAGTTTTAATATTTTAGTTTTATCAATTTTAGTTTTAAAATTTTAAAATTTTGGCCTCGAATCAAAGAATCTGTGAAGTCAAAATTCTGCCATTAGTCGATATATTTTGTTCAAATTTCATCATTTTAAATACATGAGATTTAGGGTGTGTTTAACATTGCTTTTCAAAAATACTTTTAGAATTATGAGTAATACTAAACATGTAATTTGTCAAGTTAAGAGTGATTTTTAAAACCCGAAATTTATAGATTTCGATCAAAATTATTTATTTATCTTTTTTCTATTTTCAAAAGTAATATCTAAATAGATATTTTATCTATTTAATTTTTTTTTGTAATAATACT